AAAAAGAGGAGCTTATACCAAGGGTTCAAGGAAAAAATGTTTTGGAAATAATGATGGCAACATAAGTACAAATGTAGTTGATAAAATTGATGGGATGTTATAAGAGCCCCAATAAAATGATTTTTTTACATGCTTTTAAAAAATGCTTTATTTTAAAATAAAGCAATTTCTGATGTGATATGTTCTTTTCAATTTGACAGCCTGGGGTGTCAGTGCAGCCTAGCCAGGAGGCTACAATAACCACAAAAGCCATGCCATGAAATTGAATTTTTATTTTAAAATGACTGTGATGGCCTGGACAGACGACAGCTGAAACCCAAAGCCATTTACTTAGCTGGAGAGGAAAACAGTTGATGTTCAGGAGAGCAGACAGCGGGGCGCGCAGTCTTAGAGCGCGTCTTCCTCACACATAGTCTAGCCGCGCAGCCTCTACAGCAAAGGACGCACAGGAAAGAAAGCCCCGGCAATCTCCGAAGGCAGACGCCGACCCTCGCTGGAGAGCACAGCGGTAAAGAGTCTTGGAAGCAAAAAGGTCACAGTCGTCCAGTGGGAGTCCTTCAAAAGTACATTCAAAGGCTAAAAGGGCACTGAAGAGGGAGCCACTGCGCTGGCTTAGAAGAACTGCCTCCCTTCACAAAAATGACAACCGCCCTGGCGCCCACCCTGCGTGATGGCTGGCGAACTGACAGACAGAGGTATGGACGTCACTGCCGCTCCACCTGAGGACACGCTGGGCTGGCGTGTCATTCCAGCAGGGCAGCTGCACCTATTGCTCCTCCTGACTGGCACTCAGGTTGCCCTTCTGCACCTCAAGTTCTTCGGCACTGACCATGGACGGGTCAATGGCCGCGTATTTGGTTCCATGGAACTGTAGCAAATGTATCTGCAGAAAGCAGAGCCGTCCTTTTAAGTGGCTGTACATGCACTGAGCACAGGTCGACTGAATGGCAGACAGGAAAAGGCCACCTTGGTACATGAATGCTTCGACTTCTAAAACTATAGAGCAAGCGGTTCTCAACCTGTGGGTTGCAACCCCTTTGGCAGTCAAACGACCCTTTCACAGGGTCACCCGATTCATCACAGGAGAAAAAGTACAATTATGAAGGAGCAATGAAAATAATTTTATG